CTCCCACCATTGAGAGATAGAGATTTTTCCTCACTGCAATAGACACATCTATTGGATAAGGATTTAACTTTCCTGCCTTAAATGTTTCTGTCAGCACCACTCTCTGTAGACTCATGAAATATCTCATTAACTGTGCCTGATCAAGGAGCGAATTTTACAGTAAAGGAAGTATAGCAATAGGCCGATGCCCATGGAATCCTACCACAATACCCCATCATCCAGGAACAGCTGGCTTAATTGAAAGATAGACTGACTCACTGAAAATTCAGCTATGCTGTCAATTGGGAGAACACACCCTGAAAGAATGTGGTCTGTCTTACAAGCTGCAGTATGCTTTGAACCAGAGACCGCTATATGGTGTTATCTCCCACACAGCCAAAACATATGTATCTGGGAATCAAAGTTGAAAGTGAGAGAAGCACTTCATTATACCTAGTAAAACACTAGCAGAATTTTTTCATCCCATTCAGCAACCTAGAGTTCTTCTGGTTTGGAGGTTGTAGTTCCCAAGAGGAAATTAAAGGATATAATAATGGTTCCATTGATTTGGAAGACAGACTGCCACTTGACCGTTTGTGGTAGGTTACACCACTGAACCAATATGATGAAAGGGTTACTTTACTAGCCAAAGTGATTGATCACAATTGTCAATGAGAAATAGGGTTGCTGCTACACAATGGGGGACAAGGAGAGCTATATCTGGAGGCCTGCATACTTTTCATGCCAAATAGTAAAGTTTAGTTGAAAACTACAGCAAGCAAAAGAAAAAGTCAAGACCCTTGGGGAGTCCCACCCTTCAGAAATGATGGTTTGGGTCACCCTACCAAGATAAGAACCCCATCTAGTTAAGTTTCTGAATGAGGACAAATAAATGAATGGGAAGTAGAGAAGGAAGACAGAGATAGCTACTGTGATCTTATAAATAATTACAAAGATTGCAGTAGATTTATATACTTTTTGTGTATATACTTATTTGTATACAGTAACTATTTTCTTCTCTGTTCTTCTTTCCCTGATTTTATACACAAGTTGTTGAAGGTTAACTTTACAATTCAGTTATCAGGTAACACATTTTCAGTATGACTGTGACTAAACTTGGAATTACTGAATATAATCAGCAATGAATAATGTCTTTTGGGAGTGATTGCCTCCATTTTGGGGAAAGTGTGAGAACTTCTTTGCTTGTACAAAGGACAGCTGGAGCTTGTTTCATTGTTGACTGTTCAAATGTGTGTAGAAGGACATATATGGAAGTCGAGTGACCAAAAATGTAGACTGCCAGTTATCAACATATTGCCTCTCAGCTCCAAATCTACCATTTCTTGCCCTGTTTTGGATACTGGAACTGGACCCTGTAAACATTTCTCCTTTGTGAGATGAACTGATATTAGAATTTGCCAATAGATAATACTGGAAGGACAGTAAGAGGTAATAGTAGAAACAAGGGAATTCCTTCCAGTGTGCTAATTTTTTAGGGCAGCAGTTGGTTCTCTGGTGTGCAGGACACTTGATAGCACTTATCTAAGTTGTTCTTGTGGACCACATCTCACCTATACCCTCTGGCAAGTTGCTCTAACCCACACATTCTGGCAAGTTTCCTAATCATCTGAATCCATGCCATTCTTAGTTCCTTCCTCAGTCCAAGATGTAGAAGCTGCTTCCTGCAGTTGCTACTTCTGGATGCCTTAAAGTCCCTTTTTTCCGCTTTGAGTCATTACTTTTTACTAGTTAAGTCTTTGTGTTACATTCTCCCTACTTAAATTACTGGTGAGGTTTCTGTTCTCACCAGATGATCTCCATTCTGTAGGGCCATTGAACACTGATCAATACACCATCTCAAGGTAAGGGCCCTTGTTGTTCCCTCTGCCTGGAACAATCTTCAACTAGACAAGTAAATGCTCAAATATAGCTGCTGACTGACTGCTTTTGCTATCCAAACTGTCCTTCCTTTGTGGTTAATCTGAAGCATCTGAGGTAGCCTCCATCTATCCATTGAAACAAGATGGTACAGTCTCAATGACTGGGAACCATTGCCTGCAACCAGGAAAAACCCAGGGAGAGTGACTGTGAAAGGTTTACTTGTGATATAAACAAGACATTTGAGTTTGACTCTTAGTGAACTTGCCTGAGAATAGCATTACCATGACCTACAAGCCCTAGAAACAACATCAAGATTCTCTGAGAGCCTATGGTTACAGTCTGTGTGCCCCCAAAATATTTATTGAGCCCCTATTATGTACCAAAAATTAATTCTAGGCATTAGGTATACAGCAACATTTGGCTCTGATTCAGCCCTAAAGTGTCCCACAGCTCTGAGAGGTAACCTGTCTTCTACAGAACTACAGACATTCATTGGGTAGAACTTCACCCACAGGGTATTGGCCTTCCCACAAACCCAACTGAGTTTCAAAAAGAGGCCTCCCAGGGTCCTTCAGATAGTTGTGTGCAGCTTACTCAGTGCACAAAGATGCCTAGCCTAGGATGAGCGCTGAAGTGGCAGCAAGCAACTGTTGAGCCTTGTGCCTGCTGAGGTTGTGGAGTCCATCAGGTCACTTACTTGTAATTGCATATGCAATTGATGGTTCTGGGACTTCAGGTCCCACCTTGCTGAGCCCAAATCCAAAACAGGATGGATCTATTCAGAACCATGAGCATTTTTCCAGGGCTGAGAATGCAGGAGCTTTCTTATCTAGGGAGAAGAGGCAGAAGCCACAGCAGCAGTGGTCTCTGTCTCAAGCACTCTCTGCTAAAACATACTTAGACCTCCTAAAGTATGGTTGGGCCAGATCCTGCAAGAAGTCAAGAATTGTCTCCATGTATGCCTAATGCTGAGGTTACTCAGCTTCCCTTGACTCTTGTACCATTGTACTGGCTCCAGAGTCAGTGCATTAGTTTTCCAATGCTGTGTAACAAATTTCCAAAAACTTAGCAGCTTGTAACAACTCATATATCATCTCACAGTTGATATGGAAGACAAAGCATGGGTCCTTTGTCCATGGTTTCACCAAACAATAATGAAGGTATACACTAGGCTGTATGGTGAAGGAAAGACATCCTTAGCCATATGCTATTGGTTAGAAGCAAGTCACAGTCTCTGCCCACACTCAAAAGGAAAGGAGTAGACAAAGGCATGGGCACAGGAAGCGTATACTCATCTGCAGGCTTGACTGGGGAAGAATCCACTTCAAAGTTCATTAAAGTTATTGGCTGAAGTCAATTCCTTTGTAGTTCTATGACCATCATCCCCATTTTTCTCCTGGCTGTTAGCTGGTGATCACTCTCAGCTATAAGAAGCTGCATGAACTTCCTTGCCATTGGCCTTCTCATGACATGGCAACTTACTTCTTCAAAGCCAGTGGAGGAGAGTCTTTTGCTCTGGTCTGCTGAAGTGGACTTCTACATAACATACTGGGAACACAGGAATGACATCCTTTGCCGTATCCTGTTGGTTAGAAGCAAGTCACAGTCTCTGCCTGCACTCAGAAGGAAAGGATTAGACAAAGGCATGGACACAGGAAGCATAAAATCACTGGGTGCCATCTTGTGGTCTTTATGGCACAGTCAGCTTCAAGACAAAGACTACGCTAGAGGAAAATCCCAAATACATTCAACTAGGCGATCTGGGAATATCATGTTCACCTGGGCAATACAGAGTGTACCCAGCAAGGCAGGGTTCCTGGGTGCCCCCTGCTGTACATCTCATCCCGACTCCCTGGAAGGATCCTAATCCTCAGGCACAGGATAGGCACTTAAATTACTTTTGGAGTTAATATACGTAGTACAGGATGAGGTGACTGACGATATTATCTTTGCAACATCGTCATTCTAATTCCCATCTTTGCCCCTATCCAAATGTGTGTTTTGAAAAAAAAAAAAAAAAAAAGGTTTTAAGATTCCATAACAAGAACTTTGTACTTCTTTATCTTCATCTTCATAGGCCTCCTCTTCCTTATGGAATTCTTCATGGCTCAGTTTCACCGTAAACAGGTCAAGGGGAAGTCAGTGGATTTGGGGGTAGGTGAAGAGGGCGGCTCCATAGTGGTGATGCAGGAACACATCACTTTTCTGAAGAAATCCACCCTGAACTTTCATATGCTCTTGCTTTTGTACCTCCTTTACTTCCTCCTGCAGGTTGGCAGCTGGTGGGTGTTTCTGTTCTTTCTGTTTCAGCACTTGCTTATGGTGAACCAACCCAGAATCTGCTGCAGCAGCCATGGCTTCCCTAACCTCTATCTCTGCCTAATATTGGCAGCCATGGGGAAGCAGATGTCCGTCTACACCCCCACTTTGTCCTGTGTGACAATCCTCTTCTGCTCAGGTTTCTTCATGTACAGTACCTACCACTACCTGTTAACAGGACTTTCAAGTTTCAAGTTTTGAACTAATTGAAGTTTGGGAGGAGCAACACCTTTCTTAAAGTCTTTTCTCCCTCATACTATGATGTTTGTGTCCCTCTAAATATTGTCTCTGGGACAGGGCCTACTCCTGATTACCTTAGTTCGTTTTCTCGTTTAAAAAATAAACACTTGCAGTTGGGCGTAGTGACTCATGCCTGTAATCCCAGCACTTTGGGAGGCTGAGGTGGGTGGATCACAAGGTCAGGAGTTTGAGACCAGCCTGGCCAATATGGTGAAACCCCATCTCTACTAAAATTTACAAGAATTAGCTGGGAGTGGTGGCGTGCGCCTGTAGTCCCAGCTACAGGAGGCTGAGGCAGGGGAACTGCTTGAACCCGAGAGGCAGAGGTTGCAGTGAGCTATCATGCTACTGCACTGCAGCCTGGGTGACAGAGTGAGACTCTGTCTCAAAACAAACAAACAAACACTTGCTGTTCTAGTTTTCTCTACATATAGTGATGCTAAGGTTGTCTATGGGTGGGTGGCATGCAGTTGATAACATTGCAGAGCTCTTTCACACAGACTATGTAATTTGGCCCTCACCAGAAGACTGTGACATTGAGCTTTCTTTCAGTATCTTCAAATCTGGAAGAGTTTTCAGAATCTTAGAACTAAGAGTTTGAGAGTTATTTAATTGTACTCTGGTTTCTCCAGCACTAATCCTGAATACAGAGAAGATAATTCTTCTCCAAAGGAAAATTCTTAGCCAGACTTGCTGGGTAGGTTGACCTTGGTTCTGCCCTGTGGGATTCCCCAAGCTCCTAGGTGTGGGCTCAGTCTTAACACCTCACTTGAATCTCCAACGGGGACTAAAATAAATCTGGATGAGTCCCAGTGGGAAGAGAATGGTGTGGCCAGTGCCACTAGGAGAGGATGAGGTTCAGTGGAAACACACCACTGAGTTCCACCATACCTAGAATCCTGCCTTGCTCCCAGAACTGACCCATCTATCTTGAGGTATGCTGCAGCCAGCCTAGGTCTACAGGTAGAGGTCTACCAAGTCTACCACTCTTGGGGGCTCCCTACTGAGTCCTGTTGTTTGGACTTGTGAGCACAAGGGACTTTGACCAGACATGGCTAAAGCTCTTCAAATTTGGGGTGAATCAAAAATGGCTGAAGCTCTTCACATTCAAAGCAGCAGGGGATGTTGCCATGGCACCAGAAATCTTCATGGATGTGAGTTCAGGGATGCTGACCACATGCACCACTGCTGCGCACATGGCAATTAAGCCAAATCACTGCCAAACTACTGCTACTGCCCAGTGTAGCAGCAGATTTGTCACCGTCCAAGCACAGCACAGGGATGGATCCAGCCACTGCTCCTGCAGCCATCTCCTGAGACTCTCAGGAGAGGAACACACTCAGACCAGGAGAACTCTGACAGCACCTAGGAGGGAAGGAAAGTCAGAAAATTCGGAGTCAGAAAGGGAGAATGGCTGCCAAGAAGCCTGCTCAAGATTAGACCCATACCGGCTCTCAGCTCCATATCCCTCCTTGTGTTCCCATGATGTGGTTCTTCCTCCTCTAGGTTTCAGCCTCTGATGAAAGTTCTCCACCTTTGGACACCACACAGCCCTGCTGTCCCGTTTCTCTGGGACTGGATCCTACCTGGCCCACTGAGTCCCTGCCCCAGTGCTGCAGCTCTGAGCCTGGCGGGTTCCCTCCTCTCCCATGAGGCCTCGCGCCCAACGGAAATGCTCAACAGAAATCCGTGTCCAGTCCACTGCCTCTCCTCCCCTCAGACTCTTCTGGAGGGGTGCCATTGGCTGCACCCTCTGCCTGTCTCCAGGGTCTCCATGAATCACCAGTCTCAGAAAAGCAGGTGCAGGAGAATCTGCAGCCCGTCTACAGCAGTTTAGATGGTAGCTTTTCATGGGGGTCAGGAGACTGCTCAAGATTGGGCCAAGGCCCTGGGGATACCCATGGCCCAATCTATCTTTTTCCTTCAGTCCGCTCCAGGGTTCAGATTTCCAACCGTCTAAACTCGGCATAGATCATCAGCAGATTCAACAGAGGGGCATGGGAACCTTTGCTATCCCTTTCAAACCTCCAACCCCTCTCTCCCACACTCCCCTTCATCTCCTACTTTAAACAGAAAAAAAATAGACGTTGTTAGCCAGGAAACACCTTCGTTTTCCTTCCAAATCCACAAACCTATTTTCATCTGTGTTTATCTTCCCTCTTGTCACAAGGCAGAAGGGCAGCGACTCTTCGCATGGGGGGAGGCCAGTCTTCCCGTGTGAGTTCCCGATCCCATCCCCAGGCCATCTCAGGGACCCTGCCCCACGAGTTAGCCCCTCTGCTCCCTGAATCCTGTTACTGACTCTCCAACGGGACCTTGCCTTCTGCATCCTAACAGTGTCTCCCTTCTAACCGCCCCTCCCCACCACAACACACTCTGTCCTCTTCACAGTCAAGCCCTTTGAAGAGCAGACACCTGCCCACACGTGCTACCTCCACCTCTCCACTTTGGAGTCACCTTGCACTCCTACTATTTGATGAGGTCAGAATTTTCATTTCAATTAGGAGAATGATGTGCATGCTTTAATCAAGCAATGAGAATAATTCACTGTTTGTCTTGGCTGAAATCTCATTGCTTCATATTTAGTTAGAGTAATTCTATTGGACTAGGTTCATGGTATATTTATTTTTAGTTTCTGATACTTTTAATTTTATGGTTTGATACTATAGATCATATTATAATCTACCATAAATTCTTTAGAGCTAAAATTTCTATGAAGACAAACACCTGGCTCAATTTGTGTTTAACTCAAAAAGCAATTTCAAGGAAATGATTATGTAAAGTATGGTAAAAAAAAAAATTGTGAAAAAATGGTATGTACTTATTTAGCTCTAAATTCTCAGTGACCAGCATAGAGTAGATCTCAATAAGTGTTTGTTGAATGTGTGACTGAATGCTATAAAGCCAAGAGGTAAAGCTGCAAAATGCTATGTACTTGATAACCACAACATTGCTTATCTATGTATGCTCACCACCAGAAGCTAGAAATGAAAAAAAGGAAAATAAGTGAAGCATTGGGATGAGGGAGCTGTAGGTGGATTCTTTCCTTTTAATTTAATAGTATTACAGTGAATACAAACTGGAGGGGGCTCTACACTAGAGCTCTCTATAATACAATTCTACACTCTTCATGCTTAATTTGGCAGAAGATGTGGTTTTGGTTATCTATTGCTGCAAATCAAGCCATTTCAAAACCTTGTGACTTAGAACAGCAATGATTATTATGACTCAATGATTCTTTGGGTCTGGGTAGGACCTGGTTGGCCTGCTCTGTCCCACGTGGCATCAGGCTGGTTGTCTCATGAAATCATGGTGGAGGACAGCTGGGCTGAGCTGGAAGGTCATTCACACAGCAAGTGTTCAGCTTCCCACATGGCCTCCCTCACCGCATGTGCTGCCTCTTCATTCAGTCTTTTACCTTGAGCTTGTTCATCGCATGGCACCTGGCTCCCCTGGAGAGCACAAACACTATCATGACACTGCCTTGGAAGCCTACACAACATCACTTCTCAGACTCAGGGGAAGAGAAAGAGATGCCACCCCTTGATGGGAGGAAAGACAAGGTCTCCTTGCAAAAATCCTGCAAGGTGGGAGACAGAGGTATTGACATCTTTGGAAACAGTCTGCTGCTGGATGCCTTAATGATGTTTCATTCCTGAAGTTACAGAGAAGCCTATTTCAATGCACTCCTACTTAGCAGACAGCGTAGTGACTATACTGTAAGGGTAGAGTTTCCTGTAAACCTGAATGTTCATTTTAAATATCTCGATTGAAATAAACTAAAAAATGAAAAGCAGTGTCTGGAGCAGGTGTGAGGGTTACCTGAGGCTGTCCAGAGGCAATGAGGCTGACTAAGGCAGGAGCCTTTACCCGACCTGCCCACCATGGGTTCCTGAATCTTGATCACAGTCACCGGCAGACACCCCACTGATCCATTTCTCTCTCTCTACAGTACTACCTGGAGGTTTTATTTTTTTCACTTGGAATATCATAAGCAATATTTTTAGTGTGGCCATTTTTATTGTGGTAAAATACACATAGCATACAATTTACCATCTTACCCGTTTTTAAGTTTACAGATCTATGACATTCACCACCATATGCCTCTAGAACATTTTCACCTTCCCAAACTGAAACTCTCTACCTATTAAACATGAACTCCCCATTCTCTCTTCCCCACAGCCTTTGGCAAACATTGTTTACCTCTCTATTTCCATGAATTTGACGACTCTAGGAAGCTCACGTAAGAGGAATCATACAGTGTTTTTCCTTTACTGCCTGGCTTAATTCACTTAGCATAATATCCTCAAGATTCCTCTATGTTGCAGTGTGTGCCAGAATTTCTTTCCTTTCTAAGACTAAATAATATTCATGTATATCCATAGCACACTATGTTTATCCATTCATCCATCAGTGAGCTGTTGAGTTGTTTCCATCTTTTAGCTATTGTAAATAAGGCTCTTGTGAACATACATTCACAAATATTAAAAATGATTTTAAAATGATAATTCATTCAACCAACATTTATTGAACATCTGCCATGTGTCAGGTGCTGTGCTGGGTGCTGGGGATACAACAATCAGTAAGACTGCAGACACAGCTGCCCTGCCTCCCAGATCTTAGTGTCTAATGTGGGAGACTACAGGCAACTTCAGTATAGTGGAATAACTGTCAGCAGAGGAGGAAGAGGCACCTGTGAGCACATGGGCTAGATCCCACCCAACCTCCAAAAAGAGGTTTTCCAAATTGTGTGGCTTGTAACCTGAGCTCCGGAAAGTGAGTCTGGTGTAAGAGTGTGGGAGCAGACCGGAGCAGGCAGAGCAGCATGGGCAGAGACCCAGAGCCATCTGGGTCAGAGGATAAAAAAAGGTAGAGTTGGCAGGCACTCAGGCAGAGGGACATGCAGGAGCTAGAGCAGACAATGTTGGCCCTGTGAACCTGTTATCAAATTTGGATTTGTCTTAAAAATAGGAAGTCACTGAAACCCTTCAAGTAGGAAAGTGACAGGATCTAGTCTACATTTTACACAATCAGCCTGTCTGTAGTGTGAGAGTGGACTGGACTGGACAAAGATGAGAGATCAAACAGGAAGCTACTCTTCAAATCCAAGCCATCAAAGATGGAGGTCTGAACTAAACAGATAGCCGTGAAGGCAGGTAAGGCACATCTGGCGGCTGATTGAAAGTAGGAAGAGAGGGAGAAGGTGGCATCAAGAAAAGAAAACCACAGATAGTTATTAAACAGTGAATTCAAGTATAACTAGAGGTGCAGCAAAACATGGATACTGCCAAGTAGGGGTTCTGGTGTTGACGTTCAGTCCTTCTCCAGAGATCAGGGGATTTACCTTTGTCTTGGTCTCTTCAGATTTTCCTTCGTCAGCCTGATTGCTGCAACCTTCTTGACCTCATTATGACCCACATCAAAAGTGCTACCATCTTCAGAGCATGATCTATGTTCTGCCATCCTCAAAATACTGTTATGTATTTTGTTTTTTGTTTGTTTTTTTGAGATGGAGTTTTGCTCTTATTGCCCAGGCTGGAGTGCAATGATGCGATCTCAGCTCACTGCAACCTCCTCCTCGTGGGTTCAAGTGATTTTCTTACCTCTGCCTCCTGAGTAACTGGGATTACAGGCATGCACAACCATGCCCGGCTAATTTTTGTATTTTTAGTAGAGACGAAGTTTCACCATATCAGTCAGGCTGGTCTCGAACTCCTGACCTCATGTGATCACCCACCTCAGCCTTCCAAAGTGCTGGGATTATAGGTATGAGCCACTGCACTGGGCCTATTATGTATTTCAAATTCATATGTTGAAGCCCTAACCTCTAATATGACTATTTGAGATAGGGTCTATAAGGAGGTAATAAAGGTTAAATGAGGTCAGAAGTATTGGCCCTTAATCTGATAAGGCCTCTTAATCTATTGGCCCTTAATCTGATAAGGCCTCTTAATCTATTGGGCCTTAATCTGATGTCTTTACAAACAGGGGAACAGGCATCAGAGATCTCTTTTTCTACCTGTGCACAGAGAAGAGGCCATGAGAACACACAGCAAGAAGGCAACCATCTGCAAGCCAGGAAGAGAGCCTTCACCAGAATCCAACCCTTACAGGACCTTGATTCTGGACCTCCAGCCTTCAGAACTGTTGTTTAAGCCACTAGTCTTTTGTTCTGGCAGCCCGAACAACCAGTCTGGCAGCCCGAACAACACAGTCTTAAGAGGTAGATATCATCCCCATTTATATTTGAAGAAACTGAGGCTCGGAGGGTTTGACAGGTAGCAAGCCACTCTAAGCACGTCTTGGATGTAGTGCCATACCCTGTAATGCACCATCCAATGAGACCAGGACCCAACTGGACCTTCACTTGACCAAAGGATGATATATAGGCCTATCATTGATATGTTAGTGTGAGCAACAAATGCCAGAACCAAATGATACCAGTTGCAAACAGTAGATCATAGCCAGGAGAGACCATTTCATGTCATGACATCACTGTCTTGTTTGAGTGAAAGCTGCAGCTACCATTGTGGGACATTGTTAGGGACTGTGTCCTGGCATGTGGGAAACTACAACTATTGCCCCAGTCAAGGAACTTAATTCATCCTCCTCAATGTGCAGGATTGGCTGCGTCTCTGG